GGAATATATATATATATATATTAAATATAAATTTTGAGCACATTTAGTGTATATGAATGGTAACTTGATAAATCTTTTTTGAAATGTATTTTCAAATTTATTACTTGAGCCCACAAACCGAAAACGAAACATGATAAAACAAAAACCATTTAAAATGCACAATCTTTATCTCTTTGTCTTGAACTAACTCACACATTTAAACAATTTACTGTACACATTTTGCAGCTTCGTTTTGTTGTTGTTTTCATAGTATAATTTAATATACACAGAAGATAGCGTAAAAGAAAAAGATTTCGAAAGTTACTAATTGAATGTCAGCTAAAGGTATGTATGTCTACGAATAAAGCATATACTTAAATGTGTTTCAGTGTAAAAACAATAAATGAAAATAACTAAGACAAATATTCTTTAAAATCTATAGATGTGATTATATAATATATATACATAAGGCAAAAGCAAAAACAAAATACAGTAAAAAAAAAAGTGGAAAATAAACGAAGCAGAAAAATACACAAAAGACACGTATGAAAAAGAATAGTAAATGAAATTTGCATTGTATTGAATCAAAATATTATTATAAATGTATTTACCTAAATATATATATAAATATATTGGTGTACGTACAAACCGCAGTTTGAACAAGAATTTAAATAAATAAATAAATATATATATATTGCTATATACAGTTATTAATGTAAAAATATATATTCGAGGTCTCACACGAGTTGCTGAAAATATTTAACAGCATACAAATTCAAATGATGTCGCATGGGACCTCGAAACAAAAAAACACACTTATTCGATTTATTCAATTGGTACTGGGTTACTTTCGAACTCCAATGTATCGATACTTGGCTCACATCAAGAACAATAAGCTCGAATTTATGAGCTACTTTTGCGAGTCTCAAACCACATTTCGATTATTTCTGTTRCTTTCGCCAACTTAGTCGACTATTTCCTTGTCAAATGGTTTTTTTTTTTTTTAATTGAACTAACGACACTTTGTTAAATCTCGCTAGCAGTTTCACAATGATTTTCAGTAAGTGTTAAAACTTATTCAACGTATATAAAAATTTCACTGGTTAACTTGTCAAAGAATTCAAGTACTGCTTTTAGAGATTCAGAGAGTTTCAAATTATTTTTCGATAGATCTTTTCATTATTTAAACATCGATAATAGTCGCGCCACTTTCAAACAGGGCTGTTAAATCAAACCAGCTGTTTTTAACAGAGTTTGCATTGCTTACGCTGTATGATTAAGAGTTGACAGGCTTCGTGTGTGTTGCCACATCAGAACAAGTTGTTGCTTTTTGTTGTGTGTTTAAAAACAATAACACCCGATCGAGGCTTAAAAATTTTGTCACAATAAATTAATAGTATGTTTTAGGCAGTAATAATACATTCGTGTGGTGCTCGGTTGATTACACATGTGTAAATAACGTGCAAATCGTCAATACGTTGAACACGTCAGATCTCTTTTAGTGCAGCATCCGTTGCCGATAAAAAAAGAAGCAATATATCAAAAGAGTTCTTTATCAATCGGAACCGGAGAAGCACAACTGAGTCAGGCCAAGCAAATCAAATAAGTTTATTTATTTTGACGAAACCAAGCGAGCTTTAAAATCAAGGCAAAACATGGCCGAAACGAATATTGACGTTAGCGGCGAAATGGAAATGCCGTCGCGTTCATCTGCTGGTGAAAACAAAGTCAACATTGATCTGCAAAGGTAAGTAGAAGAACCCAACTGAACCAAACATATACACCGTACATAATATGCTACTTTCAGCATCCCCGCACTGCAGAATTTGCCTTCACCATTGGAGCTGTTGCACTCGGTGCGACGATCGCTGCGTCCATGGACTGTATTCTTTAACTTGAATAACTTCAAGTCGGCTGTCAGTATGCAACGCCTGAAGAACCGTGTTTCACGCAATCTATCATATTTCCAAAGCAACTACATATTCATATTTTTCGTACTGATGATATACTGCCTGTAAGTACCATTATTTATTTACCTCAATTCCAAACAGTTGTTTAAATAGTGTTTACTTTCTTTTTTGTTATTGTTGCCGCTGCTGTAGAATTACATCGCCGCTTACTCTACTGGTTATAGCCGCCGTCGCCTTTGGCTGTCATAAGATACGATCGATCAACAAGAACGTCTGCGTTGTGGGCTGCGAAGTTACACCACAGCAACAGATTCTGGCTCTCAATTTGGGCGCGGCACCGCTGCTCATATTGGCTGGCGCTGGCGCCGTTCTATTTTGGACGCTGGGCGCCTCCTGCTTTGTGATCTTCATGCATGCGGTATTCTACAATATTGATGCGATTGTGACCGAGGAAAGCGACAGCTTCTATGTCTAATTAACGAGCTTGACAACGAATACGAATATACTAGAGTCTTAAAGCCGTAGCTAATTAGTTTCGCCACACAGGGGCCTTATTAGACAATAAGTTTGCAATTTCTATATATAACTATATATACATTAATATCTATATATGTATATATATGTGGTTATATATATTTAGAGTATAATTCTAACCATATCCGATATGTAATTAAGTTTAATCAGCAGCGCAAGAAATGTTGCCTTCAACGTATTGACCAAATACACAACAAGAAACGATTTCATTTGTTTAAATATATGTATATATATATTTCTTTTAATAATTGCACATAAATGATGTATATTAATTATATAATGTGTAGTTAAAGCAATTTTGGCAAGAGTAGAAAATATGGAATGGTTGAAAAAGGAATGCACATAGTAATTAAAATAAATAATACACATATCAAATAAATTCACTGAGGTATTTAGAACTAGAACTATATGAATGGCGCTTAGTTAGCTTTACAAAATAGATAAGTCTCTTGGTCCAGGTGTGTGTGTGTGTGTGTGTGTGTGTAGAAACTAGGCGTACTGTGAGAGTGATGTCGTTTCCTGCTCCTGCTCCTCATCGCTGGCATTCTGATCGAGCTTCTCGAACCCGTTCCGATCGAGCAGGCCGCCCAGCTTAAAGCCCTCCGTCTTCTCCCAGGCATGACGGCGGTTGTGTGTGCCAAAGGGCAGGCAACCTGTTGAATCACAAAATTGAACAGGTAAAATCAAGTAATAAAAGTGTTACAAACACAGAGAACATGGAGATATATATATATATATATATGTATGTACACGCCATGCAGCTCTTACGATCATTCATGCAGCAGCATTTGACTTTGCATCAATTTCATTCGCTGCAATATCAAAGAAATCAATACAAGGTAAACAAAAGACATTTAAGAATATAGATTATTTCTTACATACGTATAAATTTATGTGTATATGTATTTTGTATAAAAATATATTGATGTATGTTTGTTTATAGAGTAAGTAAAGGAGATTACAAAATGAGATTCGTGTTGGAGCAAGTTCCAACTGATGGAAGGCAAAGTAAAGATCACGGCAAATCAACTTATAATAAACAATTACATTTTTACACACAACTACAAAATGGAACTGGAACATATATGATATTGGTTAGCACAGACTTTGATTGGATGCTGCCAGCTGGCGATAGACCAAATCACTGGGCGGCATTGAGCTGATCGCTTGATTACCTCGTTTGCGACGGCGCGCCATAATCAGCGCCAACGCAAATGTTGAGCCAGCGAACAGGAGCATCATTGATGCCACCATTATCGCCTTGCCACTGGGATGATGCGCTGTTTGCGTTTGATCAATACTGTTCACTGTTTCCGACATGTTTGTTGCTATTGCTGGCTCGCTTTGAGCGCTGCTAATGATCTTCACAGCAGACAGGGACATCGTCTTCGCAATGGATTTGTGCACAAATTTGTGAATACGCATGGGGTTCAGTTCAGCCACATAGATGCAATTGCCATCTTCGGTGACGGCCACATCGTGTGGATTCTCGAATGGCAGATTGTTCGGACCGAACTTGGAGATCAACTGCTTGTTGCGCATGCTCATCACAAAGCCATACACTTCGTTGGAGTCCGTTGGTGCTACGCCCAGTTCGGCGGTGGGCCCATTAACAATCACCAGCTCTCCGCCTAGCAAACGAATTCACATTAACAATATTCAACGCATGTTAAGACAAGTCTCACCTGCAGCAGGTGTATAGGCCATGCTGAACAGACGATCGCCAATGAGTGGATTGTGGTATTGCGAATGGAATGTCCCGTTGTTTGAGTAGAAGCATTGCACGCGTCCATTTTCACGATCTGCTGCGCACAGCAGCTCCAGTTCGGGCACCAGCGTCAATGCATGCGGAATGGCGAAGAAATTGGGTGGCGCTACATCGTAGGAGAAGCCAGCAAAGGAGTTTTGTCCCCAGACTAGGATCTGTTCGCCCTGTTTTGAATATTTGATAATGCGCGCATTACAGTAGCCATCCGCCACAAAGAAATCTCCATTATTCAACACAGCCACCGCGGTAGGCTTACAGAATTTCTTCCTAATGCCAGGATGAAAAGCAGAGCCGAGGGTAAGCAATGGTTTGCCTCCTGCGCCTCGTGGTGGGAACTTGAATACCTGATGCAAGGCCACATCTGTTACCCAGACATTATCCTCGGGATCAATGCTCAAACCATGGGGCATGTAGAAGCTGTTCGAATAAAAGGCATACATAAAAACAACAGCACAAATATGGTGATAAATTTTGGGAACTTACAAATTTTTACCCCACGAATAAAGCACTTTGCCCGACTCCGGCTCTAGACCGAGCACAGTGTTCTCCCTAATGGGTCCCATGTTGCGCTCCTGATATACGTTGGAATTGTTAAATGTTGTCTGGCTCCAAATTCGATCGACCCTATGAAATATGACCACATTGCCGGCTTTATCAAAGCTAACAGCAGTGACGGCGCCCAGTTTCACATTATTCGCTGGCCAGGCGTTCTGGTAGACGTAAGCTGAAAATTAAGAACAGGTACAGCTAAACTATAAAACAGCTTTGTAGCTTACTCACTTGTATTCAGTTTGGCCATCTCTGTCTTTACGTCGGTAACTTCCTGCTTGGCACGCTGCGGCCAATTTGGCTCAGCTGCACCGACACCTTTCAGCATTTGGTGCAGTCGGTCGTTGTTGCTCCCAATGGGCCCATTTTGTAGATAACGTTGATTATCGACATTCTGTGAAAAGATTAGACTCTTTTTAGGTTTCGATTTCAAATTTTGCCACGGTTGCATAAATTATTCAAAGCAGTCATGTACACACACACACCCACGCACTCTCACACATATGGGCACATGTCAGTGTCAGTGTCAGCGTGTGACGTCACAAAACAAAATCAAAACATATGTTATTTTATTTAACATGCAGCTAATGAACTATTTTTGTGATTAACATGCAATTTACCTCGGTTACAGCAATAGATGCTGTCAACGGACAACCACAGCACAAAAGGACGCCAATTAACGCCAGATAATTGTAACAGCTACGCGCACAATTGTTATAGCTGAGAATGTCGTTTTTTTTGTTGAAGCGCGTCATTGTTTGCGCGTGAATTGGAATGTTGATCGTTGTTGGCGAACTGCTTAGGCTAAGCGTCAATTCCTGCGCTATACACGCACTATACTTCTCAATACGTTTTGGAAATAACTGATTTATGTGGTTGCAGCAGCCATTTTAACTGGTTGATTCTTCGAACAGCTGGTAAAAGTGACCAGCTGAAATTGGACAAATATATGGTCAGTCTAACGATATGTATCGAAAGTGTATACAAGTATCGTTTTTAAGTGTGTATAAAAACGGTTCAATATACAATTTTTATTTAGTCGGTAAAATTATTAGAAGCAGGTAACATTTGAATTACTTCAAAAATTCAAGTAATAGAAAAAAAAAAAAAGAAAAAACCAGAATATAAAAAGTAATTGAAGCTCCCGTGACTAACAGTGCAAACACACAGATCAGAAGCGCTGTAAACCGCACTTGCTGCAAACTCGAAAATATCATACATTTACAATGAAACTTGTAAATAGCTTTATATTTTTATCAATAATAGCAGCTGTTGCGTATGACAGCGAATGTAGCTTTATTGCAGCGGTTTCACAACTCAATAGCTTCAGGCATGACACTGATCCCGGCGATCCTTTGTTTCTAACGCCTCTCTTGAATAATAAATCCCTGCCCAAGGAAGAGGTGCGGAAGATGGCACGCGTTGTAGGTAAACAATTTCTAAGAGTCGAAAGTTATGCGGGATACTTGACCGTGGATGAGGCTTACAATTCCAGTTTATTCTTTTGGTATTTTCCTGCTGAGCAGGATGCGGATAATGCACCCGTTTTGTTGTGGCTTCAAGGAGGTCCTGGTGCCTCCTCGTTGATTGGACTCTTTTTAGAGAATGGTCCATTTAGGGTAGTCAATAAAAAGAAGCTGCAGAAGCGAAAATATAGCTGGACTACCACACACAATGTCATCTTCATAGATAATCCTGTGGGCACCGGTTTTAGCTTTACCGATGACGATAAGGGATATGCACGAAATGAACACGATGTGGGCGAAAATCTTTATGAGGCAATAGTCCAGCTCTACAAATTATTCGACTGGAGCAATTCGCCGGGCTTCTGGATCACTGGCGAGTCCTACGCTGGCAAATATGTGCCTGCGCTAGCCTATCATATCCATCAGGCTCAAGCATGTGAGGATCACCAGGATAATATACCGCTGAAAGGTATGATCATTGGCAATGGTCTCTCAGATCCTTTGAATCAGCTCAAATATGGCGATTATCTGTATCAATTGGGACTCATCGATGAGAATGGCTTGGCGGAATTCCATCTCGCCGAAGCTGCTGGAGAGGATTGCATTACGCGTGGGGATATGGACTGTGCTGCTGATATATTTGACTCCCTAATTCTGGGAAATCTACCAAGGAGTTCGCTATTCAAGAACTTGACGGGATTCGATTGGTATTACAACTATTTGCAAAGTCAGGATGAGGATTTTATCGCACCACTTGCCCGATTCGTTCAGAGAAACGTCAATCGTCGCGCTCTTCATGTGGGCAGCAAGGCCTTTAATGGTATCGAGAAGGTGAAGGGGTTCATGAAGAAGGATATGATGGATACTGTGGCACCTTGGATAGAGGAGCTGTTGCACCACTACACTGTCTGCATATACGCTGGGCAATTGGATATTATAGTGCCTTACCCATTGATCCGAAATTTTTTGAACAAGCTGAACTTCCCATGCACCGATGAATATAAAAAAGCCCCTCGTCGAATATGGAGGGTCGATGGAGAAATAGCGGGCTACATTAAGCAAGCTGGCAATTTAATTGAGGTATTAGTTAGGAATGCTGGACACCTGACGCCGTTGGACCAGCCCAAGTGGGTGTACGAGTTGATCAATCACGTGACTCACTACAGTGATTAAATTTTAAACTATTTACACCTGGTAAATGCTATTTAGCTCAATTACTACTTTTAAATTTTATATAAGTTTTGTAAAACTTTGTACTATTTTTATCTAATTAAAGTCATGAATATCCAAAGGTTTTTTTTTGTCTTCATTTAAATATGTATACTGGTGTTATCTTAATTTTAATTTTATTTCGAAGTATAGAATATATTCATTATGATCCCAAGCAATCTTATCAGCTAAATATATGTCAATTTAACTATTTTATTTATTTTTTTTTTTTCAATTCCATTTATTTTTGTATTTTTGCGCTTACCGGCAATACTCAAAACTGTTAACATTTATCAATTTACTCAAATTGGTACTGTTAGTTGACTGCGTCGTTCAACACTAAATAGCCTCGTTTTGAAACACTGAAATGCTCAACACACACAAGCACCCCGCTTCCCGCTTTGCCTAAATGTCATTATTATTTTTCGAGTTTCATCCGCAGCCACAGTGCAAATTGCTGCCGCACGTTAATAAATTATAATATTTAACAATAATAATACAAACTTAAAGCTAAAACATAGCTTTAAACGTTCATCAACTTAATTTAAGTGTTAAAATAGTTCTAAAGTGTCATTAAATCGCAAAAAGAAAGATCGAAAAGCAAATACAAAACAAAAAGCCTAGAATAAATAAAAAAAAAAACCTCTCAAGGCACGCAGCTAAGCAAGAGGTCGTCGTCGTCGTTGTGCTATTTGTTGTTATTTGTCAGCGTCACATGCGCCTCTGCCGTTGCTGTTGAATAAGTTTCACATGTACAGCTAATGTGCATACCCTATAGCTGCAATTGCCCTGGTGAATGCAAACTAAAGTACAAAAATACATTGCGAAGACTTTAAAGGTGAGTGCGCGGCATCAATACAGAATGTACCAACAAAAACAACAAAAATTGAAACTGTTATAACATATGCGACAGTGGCGTAGTTAAACGGGGGCCAATGGACGGCAGAATGTGCCGAGCGAACGAGCGAGCGAGAACCTGATTTGATCAAATTGCAGCTGCATTTTATCGAATTTCAACAGCAAAAACAACCACAATATAAGAAACTAGAAAAGTGCAACAAGACATTTAGATATATGGTATATATGGGCAATTGGTAGGGTGCATGCAGCGAAATGCTTAACTCCCTTTCGGTGGTTGCAATGCGCCCCTTCTTCCTTCTGCCTGTCACAATTTGATTTAGGCACGTCGCCTTGTCTCGCTCCGTCTGCGTCTCCTTCTCCTTCTCCCTCTCCTACTTTTACTGCTACTTCTACTTCTACTTCTTGCGCTGCTGCATTGCATTTTAAATTGCAGTTTACATGTTGCTAAAAACTCTACGCACAATTGCAAGACAAAGAGACACCATTTGTTTGCATTGTGTTGCCAATAAAAATATTTGCATTGTGTTAACGCGCTCTTTACCAACCATTGCAGCTGTGCAGCGGCAACAACTGAAGGAGGATCAAGCAGGATCATGCAGCATCATGTGCATGCGACTCGGGCAGCTCCACATTTACGGCATCACAGTCATCTGGCGATGCCGTTTCCCACCATGGAGCAACAAATGTTGAGCACACTAATAGCAACTGCACCAGAACAACAGCCACAGCAACAACCGCAGCAGCAGCAGCAGCAACAGCAGCCGCCGCCGCCACCGCAACGGGAACATGGACGGTAAGGAATGCTATGTATGATGGAGGCAATGCTCTTAGCTTATTTGGGTAAAGACGCCGTCTTGTCTAGGCTCTTGGTCTTCTTTCTTACGTACGTTGCGGCAATTATGTTAATTCCTGTCACTGACAATCGCCTGTGAGACTCATCATCCCATTTTCTCAACTCATAAATTATAATTTCAGTGGGCCTTTGTTCTTTAGCGCTCAGCATGACTTCCGCTCGATAACGGGTTTTCCAGCGACAGCAGCAACAGCAACAACAACAACATCGGCAGGCTACAATTATCCTTGACGTTCGTCGGGATTCGCCAGTTTCTCTCATTTTACTTTTTTTTTATTTCATTTTTTGCTCAGTTTGTCGCCTTTTGTACGATCAGATGTTTCGCTCAGAGTTCAACCTAATCGACCCGCCGCCAGTTGCTCTGCAGTCGCTGTTCGTCTCGCATCCGCTGCGAACGTTTCGAAGCTAACGATTTGTTTTATGCTAAAGCATGTAAAAGACTTGTGTCAGGTGATGATGCGAGCACTATTAGTAACTAAATGCTTGATAACTGCATTACAAAGTGAGCAATTACCTGGCGAACCTATTCATAGTGAGTGTGAGAGAGCGCATTTGCTTAACAATGAATTCGGGAAACAGTTGTGGAAGTGCAGCGTGCCATGGCATTCGGATCACAATTTGATTAACATGCGAAAAGTTTTGATCTATAAGCATTGCTTTGAGTATTGTTTTATAACATTCTTGAAGACCCTCAGACCTTTCAGTTCTGTCAAGTAAAAAGCTATCTCTGTTTATCTGAAATCGAATGGAATTTCGATTCTTTTAAAATTCTATGAGAAAAACATGATTACATCCTGATTACCCCATTTTCAATGGGCTCATATATTTGTGTAGTGCTTAAATTTTTAATTTTTTAGAGAGAATTCCAATTGTATAAGGATCGAGTACTCCTCTAAAGCATCCTGTTTTAAATACTTAATTTAAAGACCATGTCAACAGCAAAGTTGTAATCAAGTAAGATATATGAAATTCCTTTTTATTATAGCATGATATGTTATAATAAGCAATCTTCATTTTAGATTTATATATTAACTGCCTAAGTTGGGGATTTGTCCAAGTGTCGAGCATCTTATCTGTTCCATCAGAAAGTTTCTGATATTTTATAAAATATTAATTATAAACAAATTTGGCTATATCCCAGCACATTTGACATCCTGCCTAATTTCACAATTATTTTATTTAATCCAATTATGAAATGCATTCAGTTCCGTTTCCTGTTTATTTGAGCACTGCAGTTCAGTTGAACAGCTTTGTTTAAGCTCAACTCGCTGTGATAATTTCTTAATAGATTTAACAATTGCAAATTAACTCGACCAGTGCCCAATACACAGAGCTTTATTGGCCAAGAAGTGGTCATCCACAGATTTGCCGGATTTCCATGTGTAAGCCCATTCTCCCTGTCTTCCTCTCCCTTTCTCTCTCTCTCTCTCTTTAACTCTATCTAGCTTTTGGGTAGGTGCGTCTCAATTGAAGCTGACAGTTGGCGAAAAATGACACGATGCGTAAAAGAAT